CGAACTGACTGAATTGTCTCAATCTTCCTGCGGTGTTCAATTTATCAACTAGAGCGTAAAAGAAGTCCATATTTGAATTGTGAGAAGCCATCAAATCTTCTATTAGTATCGTTAGTTTAAGTTATAAATAATAAAATTAGTAATAAAACATAAAATTCGGTTTAAAAAATGACATTTCTAAGACGATAACAATTTTATACGAGTATTGTGTACTGCTTTCAGATAAACGCAGACAGTTTTAAAATAAGCCCCGTTTTTATTAGTGACGGCTGGTTGAACGAATTTTTTTAATATGATAGTGTCAATGTGGTTTGGAGCTTAAATTTTTGATGTGTAACATCTTACCGATTCGATATGGGACTAATTTCATGCATCAGAAATCTTAGAACATGTATATTATACGCTCTAAGTCGGAAATGTGTTATACTAAGTGTAGAGGGAGTTAAAATCGATACTACCCACTGTTGGTGCTTGAAAAGATAGAGGATAGAGAGAAAAGCGTGAAAGAGAAAGAAACTCCAGCTGTAAACATTTAACAGCACGAAGTATATCACTGCAGCTGTAAGTGTTACGTTAAAATAAAATTTAAATCACTTCAGTATTTAATTATTCCTACATCAAATATGATTTGCGACTACGGAAATACCACTTTGTTTTATTAATTTTTTTTGAAAGCTAAGTAAATAAATAAAAGATACGTGAATTGACATTAAAATGAACATGAGATATAATCAAATGTAAACAAAAACATACTTCTTTAACGACCATGTAAGCATTTGCTACGCCTTCTCTGATATCTTGAGGTTGAGAGTATCGCTTCTTATGACCTTTTGCTTTTGATCTTCTTTTTACACTAGGACCAGGAGACACCATATCGTAGGCAGTTTCAGCGGTCATCTACACAAAAAATAATTGCAGATATATAAAAAAAAAACAATTATAACGTACTTGTATGAGATGTATAATTCTTGAAGTAAGTTCTAAAGCAGCCATTGCAGTGGATGTAGTAAAACTGTTAGCACCACGTTGAAGACCTCTTACAATACGGCCATCCTTTTGATATTGCTCAATCGGCAACCAAAATAAGTCTCGAATTCCTTGAACTACAATATTGATGTAGCTTATTTTTCTACTGGAATATTTATCTAGTTCAAAACTTACATAATTGTACTAAAGAATGCATAGGCCCCACTCCACCCAAAAGGCTAGGAAGTTGATTTTTCTTTATATCATTCAACCATTCAAATAAACAATAACTAAGAAGTTTATCTACACCGAGAATACCGTGTCTGTTGCTTATACGTTTTAGTTTTAATTCAGAACAATCAAGTTGACCTAAACCCATAATTAAACCTTGAAGAGGTCCGTGAGTAAAATCGACTCTTTTTCCATGATAATCTATTTTTATAAGAACTTCTGGGGAAAACACAACACTTCTACAATAAAAAAAACAACTAGTAAAATGTTGAAGTCCTTCTTTCACACATAATATTACCTGAAATAAATTGGCAGACCAACTTCGCTGGATGATGCGATTTTTTTTGGTTGTTTGTCATCTTCACTTCTCTTATTTTCTTCTAGAAGAATAAGTAAATTTTCATCCACTATTTTTTGGGCCTTTTCCGCAATTTCATTTTCATTTTCCACATTTACAGTCATTACAGGGGGCTGATGAGTTGGTGTACTGTGCTTCGACTGGGTAGTACTTGATCCCTCTAATAAAAATTTCGTCAATACGTTCTCTCAATTTCAATGTAATGGTAATAAATCTTATACATGTACCTGGTTTACTTTTGGCATTACTCAACTCACTAAAAAAGTCAATTAAGAATAATAATGAATCCTGATCAATATTAAATCTAAGCGGAAGCAATGAAATTTTTAAACAACACTCTTCAGTCTTTAAAGTTGGATCCGATCGCAAGTGTACCGCTTTGATTACTATCTGAAATTGAAAAATGAATAATACTTTAAATGTAATTTTCTGAATATTAAAATATTACCATATTGGCGTGAGACTGCTTCGGGCGAATTTGACTAGTATACTGATACAGAAATTTATTAATTGCACTAGTTGCCAAACGATCTCTAATTTCTAGCTCAGAGATCAACAAAACCTGCCTGGAGGAATGTACTGAAGCTTCCGGATAAATTTCATGTTGAAAACGAACCTATTTAAAAACGAATACGTATATGTATTTATATTATAATAGCACTGCTATTGTTTAATGAAACCACTTACGTATTTATATTATAATAGCGAACCTATTTAAAAACGAATACGTATATGTATTTATATTATAATAGCACTGCTATTGTTTAATGAAACCACTATGCAAGGTTCTTAATTTCAGCATAATTTTTTTAACTACATAATTAAACATGATCGTTATTTATATTATCAACCATGAACAGAATATCTACTTCAAACCCAATAAAACACGGTTTTCATGTTTTTTTTTTATATTCTTCCAACCCATTAACTCTTTTGGATTGAAATTGTTTTAATATTTATATTATGAGAAAAGCAATTCCAGTAAATAAATGTGAAGGAACACTTTACTGCAGTTTCTGAAATTATTGACGTATTACAATTAGTCAAGTATTGTTTGATTATTAAATTATTATTTAAACCTACAGCTGCTTGCACCTATATTTAGATTCTTTTATATACTTAATACAATAAAAACTTTTTGTACCTTCAGCTTTTCACAGTTGCTGCTAATCAATTATGTACTCGCGTTATATATATATTACTTTACCTTAAATTTATGTTCAGTTTGTATCATAATTGTAGCAATATAAAATATATTACATTAAATAAAATTTACCTTATTTAACTGTAATTCCATAAGTATGTTTTGATCTCTGCTAGCACCTCCGGAAAATTTCCAGTCACTTTCCTGTTTCTTTCTAGTACCCTCATTGAAACTAACTATTCCTCTATCCTTATTAGTAAATCCCACACTTCCATGCGTATGAATATCCGAGAAGCCGACTACTTTTTTTTTACTTGGATCGACGATTTTAAAATCGTTTCCTCCATACATATGCCAAACTATCGTCATTTCACGAAGTGTATAACGCATTACAGGCGTTGGGAAATGTTTTGGGGCCATTAGAAGATTCGTTTTACCAATGGGAACAGAGAAATGATTATCTATTAAGCGAACAGGATCTTCCATAAGCCATCTGATTTCAGGAAGTCCATCTTTTGGCTAGTGTGAAAACAAGAAATCTTTATTTTTATTAAGAATTAATGAAAGTATAGAAATAGTAAAATAGGTAAATTTATTACTGTGTCTCAATCAATATTCATTAGATGAATACACATGTTGAGATGAGTTCGCAGTTTACTATAATATAATTTTTTACGAATTTAGTTCGGCAGCTACATCATTACGCAAAAGTTACTGTATTGTTTCTTTATTTACCAACGGAGTAAAGCAAGTATATATCAATAAAAAATAATATAAAATTTACCAATAAACCTAAACCAGGATCCTCCCCAACAAAACAAAAGTCTTCATCAGTATCGCTGCCTTTATTAGATTGGTTTGAAATGTCGCCCAATTCACGGGTAACTTGAATAGGTGGTTTCCCTAAGTCACCTAACTGTTTGCCTTCATCAGGGAAAAAAAAGATATTGGCACCAGAAATCGCATCGTCCATCACTTTTTCTGAAAACGTAGTGCAGTTTTAAACACTTTTGACGTTTACTTTACTGGTGAGTCAATGACAATTAAACTAATTGATTGAACTTTAAAAAGCGAAATTCCCGTCATATAAAAACTTTACATATCTGTTTCTAAAATGTGCTATAACGTCTAGTAGTAGTAAGTTTCAGAACGGATTTAAATCGTGTCGCTGAAAGTTTAACTAATGCTTCGAATTTGAAGATGTATTCACGTCAACATTTTCTGTAAGATTACAATAATTTTACCTTCGTTACACACACTTTCTTGCATTGCTTCTCCTAATAAGTCGTTGACATGTTCGTGTTGACTTTTAGATAAATTACTTATGTTCTGAGGTTCAACACTGACAAGTTCTTGATCGATTTGATGTCGGGGACTGGAATTGGTACTACCCGTGAAATTGGTGTTTTCATTAGTTGAACAAAGATCACCATCACTAGCGAAATAGGTGATTAACTGCATAAGTGCATGACCACTGTCAGCGCAGGTTCGTATGTGTACAATGTTGTTAGAAGCCCGAAGATCGATGTGAGGGTTTATTCCACTTTTCTAAATAAAGATATGTTGATAATTAAAACACTATTATATTAAAACCCAAAAATATTTTACGTGACAAAAACGCACGTAATAGGAACCATGAAAAGAAAACTTCTTCTAGACGAATATTTAGCGAGTATCGTTATATACCTATATCATGATATCAAATGAAAGGTACATGTTTACCTTAAGCGTACTGTATTTACTTCAGCATTACAGAAAAAGCCGTAATTATTGTTACGCAATTGGTTAAATTAGTTACCACTTCCGATTATTCATTCGCGCGTCTAAATGGAGATCAGGATTTTTCCGCGTCATTCAAAAGACAAACCGATATAATTTGATTTCCCTAATAGGCTATTACTTTATTCATTTGATAGCTTATAGACCACTAAAATTAATGAAACGAGGATATTTTTGAAAAAGGCAAAATTAGAAAGCTATTGAATAATGTATACAATTAAAAAGAAATACTTGGTAACGACAACACTCAATTCGCGAGTTTTGTCTTCCTTACCCTAACCTTATGATCCATCCGTACTACTCGGCCAACGTTGCTTCTTGCAAGTTACTTTCAGAGAAAAGGATCATATTGCCATATTTAAACATGCAAATAGAAGTTATGCGATCAAACGCGTAGCAGTATTTACGACTACTTCTGTAACGCTGAGACAAATGCAATACGCTCATCGTGGCACTGTCCACATTACTAAAAGTTTTATCAATATTATTTTACTTTTCTAAAAATTGACTATTTAACAACATATTTATTTACTGATAGAAGGAAAGAAACAATTGTGTGTGTCAGCTCCGCGTGACTGGAGTTTACTCCTTAAAAACGATTATCTTAAAATATCTATAATAGGCAAAGGAATAAATGAATTTATTTATTCATATATTTATTCAAATTAATTTGATAAATATATTAATTGAAACTTTTGCATCTTTCTTTTGCGTATAATATACCCACGCACGTTGCGATTACAACCCTGAATATGTAAACATGAATTATGTAACCTACTTAATAATGTACGTGTTCATCGGATTTTTTTTTAGCATCACTTCAATATATTTCTTCCATATCTTACAATATTTTATTAACTTTATTCACTTCACTTTATGTGTAAGTATAAATATCAATAGATATAAATAGCAAAAATAAAACTTTAAATCATTCACACTGCACAAATTGACGTTCATCATCACTTGAATATATTTCTTCCATATCTTACAATATTTTATTAACTTTATTCACTTCACTTTATGTGTAAGTAAAAATAACAATAGATATAAATAGCAAAAATAAAACTTTAAATCATTCACACTGCACAAATTGACGTTCGATATTTTACATGNAATATCAATAGATATAAATCATAAAAATAAAACTTTTCTTCATTCACACTCCACAAATTGACGTTTTATTTTACATGTGTACTGATGCTATACTGAGAAAGAATTAAAGAAAGAGAAAGAGTAAATGTGTATTTGAGACTGAGGAGCAGGAAGCGGTATAAGATGCGCGAGTATATTACGCAGAGGAAATGTGACCATTCACTTTTTGTTAACGTTTGATTTTACTACCCATCTATTTTTCATACCGTGCGCTATATATGAGACGATTCTTAAGGAGTAAACTCCAATAAACTCCAAAAATTACTAATTTACACGGAATTCGGCTAGAAACGTTTTTTTAATAAAAGTGTAATATAAAATAGGTGACTTACTTTATCACTTATTTTGAGACTGAGTTCGAACAGTCCAATGTCAATTACGTTAACATAATCTTTCTTTAAATCAACTGATGATGAAGATGGTATGCCGTTTCTCGGTGGAGCTTTGTCACTGAGAAATAAATAGCAATCTTCTGCTATAAATCTTAAAGTTGAAGTGTTGGCTTGTGCAGATAAATTTGAAGACATGCTGAATGTTCCTACCGTTAGTAAAGAGCGGAGCGGCAAGTGAAGGGGCCTGAAAAATTGTAATAGTTTTTGATAAACTATCTAGCGAAGTTCTTCAGAATAAATAATATTTGAAAATGTTTTCTTATGGTTTTATAAACTCAAAGCCAATAGGACTAAAGCTTTTAATTTGTAAAAAATCATACCGACGTTTCGCATCAAGCAAAAGGTTTTTTCAAAGTGAGTCTTGGAAATCAATATATTAGTTAAATCCTTGGTCAAGATACATATTACTAATATAAAATTAAAATGATAAACAATATGTATAAACTAGTCACAGGCCGCAATTGGCTTGCTCCATAAAATATAGAATTCATTTTTGAAATCATATACTATATTTTTAAAAATGTCCGCATTAACGATTGGTATCAAAGAATTTGTTTTTCATTAATTTATTTACAATAAACCAGCGTTTGAAGTTGACAATATATTTAAGTTTATGTAACGATATCTGTTTGGCCATAACGTTACGATCCACGAAAATATGAATCTACCATAAATTATCGATAAACAAGCAGTAATTTGCGAGGCTGTTTCTAAATTATTTTAAATTGTTTAAAAAATTGATTCACACCATATTTTCAAATATCCCAGATAATAGATCTGGATGCGCCAAAAGGTCCAGGAAAAATATGAACATAAACTAACGAAAACTGACGTCATTTTGTGGTACAGTTTCTACGTTATTTTATGTTTAATATAAAATTAATTTTATCTGTTGAAAAGCACACATATTAGTGCATAAAACACTATTTTAAAAAATCCCAGATACTTCTGGATGTGCCAAAAATGCCCGCGAAAATTTGCGTTTTTCCAACTTCATTTTGGCCCGGATGACAGTTGAAAATGTATTGTTTTACGTCAGATTTCAGTTTTTTGCAATTATAAGTTAATGAAAAATGAACGTAATTTTATGCCATATCATCAAAATTTTAGCAGCAAAAAAAATGTGAGTTCGACATTTTTAATGGTTTATCACTTCGATGAGCTACTCGAACACCATGGTATAAAATAATACCGGTAATTGCTTTCTGGGGTCAGGACTGCTTGAAATCGATAAAAACTTGATAAATGTGTGCACTAGATCGGATGCGTGCAACATTTACATAGTAATTATCATAAGACGAGAATAGGGAAACTTCGATAGTGTATCGTGACGTCAGACTCTTTAGGAACTTCCGGACCATTTCAATTCGAAAACTTAAACTTTTTAAATAATTATCGGAAAATTATTTAAAAAAAAAAATTACTTTACAAATATGGATATGTACATCATCAAAAACTTACTTAAAAAATTTATGCAACAACCTAATTAAAACTATCCAAAAACAGAGTATTAATTGCGAAGTGTTGCTGCCGCGTAGTTTTTAACCCATTTATTTTATTTATTATGTTCATTGTTTTTAATCACTATATTTATTATTTTATATTTACAATCGTATTGTTAAAGTAATGGGTTCATGTTTCTTTACCATACATGTAAATGTGTTATACATAGACTTCCAAAACTTACCTTGAAAATGTCTTATCTAAGACGTAAAGGCGATGTTGTATTTAATAAATGAAAGAACCCTATTTGCTTCGATTTTACAAAATTACAAAAGTAAGGGAAGAAATGGAGAATATTTTTTTGAGATTTTATATCACCTGTAATCCACTGCACAGTCCCACAAATTTAAATGCAATTCAGTTAGTACATCTTTGGGTTGATAGCCTGGTATAGGATAATCAAATACATTGAAGAAATCTATTAGTTGTGAAATCCAATTATTTGGTTCATTGTACATTCTATGCCTTAAGGTACTCTTATTAATTCCTAGAGCGACCCTGATCGTCTTTAAATATATAAAAAACATTTAATATTTTATATATTCTAAAGAAATACAGCAAAATACCTTTATATGGTGAGTTTCATGGTTTGCTCGAATTTTTATAGCCACAGAAACCTGTTCTCTATCACCACCACGACCAGAAGAATTGATCAACACTCCCTTCTCAGATTTATATATAGTTGTATGCAAATGATTTCCTACAGCAGAACCGACTTCTTTGAGAGGAGGATTTTGACTTAATGTTGAAATCATTTCTACAATTTTAAATAAAAGTGAACCCTTTCATGTATACGTTGATCAGAAATATCAAATATGAGAAAATAATAGCAAACTTATTAATTCTAATATATGAAAGCTCCTCATAAAGAAGTAAATACATAAATGTGTACTTTTACAGACTGATGAAAATAAGAATTAGAAAATATCTTATGTTAGCTTTAATCGGTTGAAGTCCAAAAAGTACAAAATAGTTATAACAGCAAAAAACGCAAGTTAAATAAACTAGCCCACTAAATGATTTGGAGGAACTTGAAGTTGAAAATTAGACAATAAGGTCTTTAGACAACCCTCTACTGTATCAAACTAATACTTTCAAATCACTTCCGGTTATACTGAGATTGTATTATTCACGCAAAACTTGAAATTGAAAGGGTTAATGTTTTATTTGAAAGGTGCTACTTTGATTCAAACTATTTACAGATTTCCTTATATGCACTAAATGTTAAAGTTTTGTAATTAATGTTATCCATGTTTGTCACGCTTTTTTTTCTATCAGTGACTTGATGATGATATTTCACTTCAATTTGATTTAAATTTTTTCAAAACCAATACAAGTAAACTTCAATAATCCTGCCTGCAGTTCTTTAAATAGCAAATGAATTAATAAAAAAGCTTAAAACTGACCACAGTAATGTAGTTGGACATCATGCGCTTGCACACAAATATAACCTAAGTTATTATCTCCCTTATAGCCAGATACAATAAAAACATTGATATCTTCAACACTGAATACGAATTCACCATGTTGACCAGGTATAACATTTAGGCAAGTATCTCGAACTGGAGTTCGAAGTGTTATTAAACCTTGACCGATGTGAAGATTTAAGCCAAAGTAACTTTGGGCTTTTGATTCATTTACTATGAAGTTAACAGGTCGATTTTGTCGCAAACGAGATTCACACACCGAAAAGAAAGCATTTGAATTTATGTCTGCTTCGTCGTCTGATTCAGATTCCGATTCTAAAATTAGAAAAGCATTGGTATAATTTTATTTTCTATTTGATAAACGTTTTTATTTTAACAAGGGCGCGTGATTGAAATAAAAAATAAGAATTCACCATGCGTTTCTGAATTTGAACAATACATTGTTTAATTTTATGACACTGTCCCTTACAAATGCACAGGACGATAAGACAGAATAAATAGGCGATTTCAAAGTCGGATAACGCATTGGTTCCTAATCATACCTCACATTAAACAATATCAAACCGACTGCAAAATAATGCTCTCTTTAATGTGTAACTGATAATTAGTTGAATGTAAACAAAGGACGCGAACGTTCAGGAGTTATTAGTATAATAGACCATTCAAATAGCATGTGCGCAGATTGTCAATAGATGAACATTTGACTTACATTTTATCTTTTTGCTAAGCGTTTTATTGATAAAATGGATTAAAGTTGTCAGTGAATTCACATCTTCGATCCAGTTGACTAACTTTTTGAAATAATTGGACGACAGTTTACGTAATTTGACTTCGGACTTCAATTTTCAGGTCTGTTTGGTTAGCGTTCAATTGTTAAGTATACGCAAAAGAGAGCATTTTGACTGATTTTGTTTGATGTGAGTTATAACTGAAAATCAACTTTGGCATTGAAATCGCTAATTTATTCTATCACCTTCTGTAACAAACATTTACAAAAATATGAAGTTGTAATATAAAGGCTTTATAATTTTAATTGCGAGTTATAATGAGACGAAAATTAAAATACAAATGTATACTTACCATATTGCACGCCACTGCGACACATGGAATATCTTTCGTGTTGTATGTTTGTAAAGTAACAAAACTTATCCACATTAATGTTTTCAAAATTTTGTGGCTTTGGTTTAGGTGCACACGGCTCCCACAATAGTAAATCATTGTTTATTCGATTATAAATTAATTCATATATATGTTTGGATACTAACTGTAAACTAACACATGGCAAATTTAGATCGATTCCTATTCTAACCAATTGGGATGTCTTATCAATGAAATTGGCCATTTCTTGTTTGTCCCCTGGTGTAATGAGCTCTTCTATCTCTTTTTCTACAAAAAAAGTGATGTTTATCGTTTACAATGTAGTAAAACAATAATATACTGATTTACAATAAATGTCTTTGAAACTAATCTTATCAAACTATTGATAAATTTTAAGAAGTGAATGCTTATAACTATTAAAAAAATATATATTTCTTTTAGTATAGGTACCTTGATGAGGTTTATTATGAGGTGTATCACTTTCATGTACAGTTCGTTTAGAACTGAAAGGACTGTGGTTCCCAGTTTGATTTCCAAGTTCTCCATAAACTGATTGAGTCATAGAATCAAAACAAGTATCCTGCATTTGTTCCAATTCTACTTCTGGTTTTAAAATTGGATAAATTTTTAGTATTAACCTTGAAAATATTAATAATTTAATTAGCTTTTTATATATTAACCAAAAATAAGTTATGCAAATACAACTTTAATTTAGTCACAAAGTAATTAAATCAATAATTTTATAAACTCCAATTAATCAATTATGTTAAAAGGCAAAATTAGCAATTTATATAATGTAAATATGTAAGTTGGTCGTACGCTTTTTTAGTATGTATAGATTATAAAACGAGGGAAGTAAAATCATTCAGAATATACTGTGCTATGGACGTGGAACAAAATAAAAGTAAATTTTAATTTATGTTATATTATAATAAAGGCTTGCCTATAATAATCAGTATTTAAATTTTTTGCATTTAAGCAAAGTTAGAAATACATATAAAATAGACTTACTCGTTTGCTCAATAATTTGTACATAACATAAACTAAAATTTATTACAATCCGAAGCTTCAAACTCAAATAATAAAATCTGGACCGGCAATTGATAGATTGAGTTGAGCATTACATACAACTAAAACAATTTGTAATTACAAAAAATTACCATATATTAAAAGTGTACAAATTAACTTTCAATCTAGTATTGCCTGACATGATTTGTATTGAACGTTGATAATATAGTTCTGAGCTTTTGTTTGCGATAAAAGTAGTAGTTGTTTTTGTAAAATAGTCATGTGTTGTAGTACATTTTATAGAGCAAAAATTAAACCAACAAGCGTGTATCTAATTGATTTTGTGATTTTCTTATTTATAACCTTTTATTTACGAATTTTAAGTAATTGTTTGTATTTGCATTTTATTTACCTTTCTGCTAACTGCAGAATGTTATTTGTTTCGTACGATTTCAAAGTAATAATATGAGTGTAAATTAAATTAAAACTAAGAAATAGAGAGCGCAAGTAACTATCGTGTTGAATCAAGGCCAGTACAGGGGTAAGAAAATTATTACAGCAACACCAAACTTTTGCCTTTTAAGATTCTATTAAGGTAAACTATTGATTTTAGAGCCTACTTTGATACCGTTTTACACCCAAAAGTGAAAGTTGTTTCTTTACTTTAATAAACTCTTTTTTTGCTCCTGTCTTGATTTTCATTCTACACTTACTCTAAAATAAAAAGAAAAAAGGAAACAGAAAACTAAATATTTATGGAAAAACGTTTTTCTTCTTGAAGTGGGCTCGATGGGAGTAAAATTTCAAGGCCATGAAACGACACGTTTTGCAACGTTTTGTCTCGCGACGCGATATGCTATGAGAATAGAAAGGAGCGCATGCGCATATCGGTATTACAGTCAGCTGTTACTGACCGGCATCTCATATGATAGTATATTGTATATTTACTGTACTACAGTGCTAACTTAATGTTTTGGTTATATCTGTGCAGTTACATTACAGTATTATTTATTAAGAACTTGCCGAGCGAAAATTTAATTCAACAGCCATGCAATTAATTTAACAGTATAAGGGAAAAAATAAAAGTTACCTTACTAAATAAAAATCATCAGGAAGTGAATTTCCACATTTATCACTTACACCAGCTTTTGCTATAGGTATTGAACTATTCATTTCGAATTCCGTGTATTGTATATCAACTTCTTTACATTCTACAATATACTGTTGGTAGAGTTGATTACTATACCAACTCGAAGATACAGAAGAATCAGTTAGTTTTAAAGTTAAATAGTCTGGTCTGACATTTCTTTTCCACCAGGGATTCTTTTGCATATCATGAGATGGACGAAAATCAGGTACTGGGAATCTACAAAAGAATGTCTAATTAAATATCTCCATGAAAATGACGTACAATAATTTCAGAATACGTACTTAGTACTATGATAAGCAATAAATGGGAAGTAAAGAAAAAAATACCTTAATTTTAAAGTTAATTGAGGTGAAGTAACTTTTAAATCGAGTCGTGAATCTGTTTGAACCAATGGTTCAATCCAAGTATTGTTTTCAGCGTATAAATTCTTGGATGCTTTGGAGATACAAATCGGTTGTGGATTAAGAAGAGCATTTACTCGATCTACGATGGTAATATCAACTTCAACTAAACACGCATCCAACAGAAATCTGCAATCATAAATTGAGACATTACAGTAATTAGTTTTAATATATTCATTCTTACGAAATATCAGTCTTTGTAAGGCACTTTCTTCTAGTAATACCAGACCTACAACTTTTTTCTACATGCTTAAATATTATTTTTAAACAAGGTTTTAAGATGGGATTAACCGAAGGCGATTCCGTACAATTAAACTGAAGTAGGGGAACATACTCCACGTCATCTTTTTCATAGAGACATTCAAGAAACTCTAACTTGGCTACTATCAGTTTACCTGATATAGAAAATGTACTAAGAGTAGTTTTTTCATCGCCTTCTATTTGTATTGGGGCAGCAATTATTCTATAAAGAAAGATATCATTTAACCATGAATTGTATTTTACTGTATACCAACCTAAGATGGTTAAATTTGCATGCCTTTTCAAAAGTGCCTTTTGCATTTTGAAAATCTTTATTGCCATATCCATTAATAGCAAACAAACCAAGATTTCTGAAAAAGCTTTCAGCAGTATTTTGCATTTGCTGAACACTAGATGGTGCTAAGATTTGGTCAACACCTACAGGAAGTGCTAAAATATCTTCGTGTAAAAGCACCATTGCAAAAGATGCTAATCGAATTTGAAAATGTGATATTTCTGCACTAGGATCAGTTTCTATATTATTAACTAAAAAAGAGACAATTCTTTTTAAAAGTTCAAGCATATATTTAAGAATATCATCAAGAAGACTAGAGATAGGAGCAGAAACTTAAACACAAGCGAAAGATCCAATGAACATCATAAAAAAGGAGAGAAAACGTAAGAGTCGCTGCTCGATAAGCACTGCCCGTCGATCTTGGTACTGTCTAAAGTCAAATTCAAAAGGTCTCAAGTCTTCTTGAATATAATAATGAATGTTATAACACTGATACCTCTCCTTTTAGTTCGCGAAGATGGATCTGTAAATGAACTTGCTATGCTGGTATTTGTACTGGATTCCATACTATTACTTCCGAAAGAAGTACTACTATCACACATTACACCTGCTGTGGAAATTTTCATTGGTAAGAAGTTTTCATCATTATCGCTTTCATCTGTAGAAAAGACATGATTAATGAACCTTTTAATTTCTAATTCTTCAAATTCAAAGCAAAACCGTTTATATTCTTGTTTCCGCCTTTTTTTGTGTAGACCTTTCAGTTATAATAGTGAAAAGCTCTTTGACTGCTTAACATACAATTTTACTTTTTTATCAAAGTGTATTTATACGGCATTTTTTTTACCTATTCTTTTTTTGTTGAATAACGCATACAATGATACAAATTATGTGTTTAAACTAAATAAAATGAATGATTTTAGATGGCTTGATGTGGGCAACACTAATTTTAAAATTAAATTAATAAATATAACAAAGAATTCTGTTTCAATCAAACCTGGAGCTGCTGACCACCCTTGAGTGCCAGGTAAACCAGCAGATTGAAGATGAGCTAAAGGATGTAACTGTTGTTGCAATTCTTGCTCAATTATTTTAAAATCCATTTCATTCATAGGCTTTTCTGAACATTTCTGTTTAGATGTGACATTACTAAAAAAACATTTAGTAAAATTTACTGAGTAGATGAAATTACGACATTAGACACCTTGTATCTTCACTGTCTGGACTAGCTAAACCGTTAGCAAATTCTAACAGGACATGGACTTGTCTTGGAGAAAGAAATGTTGTAAATGAACCAACATTAATTTCCATAGATACTTTTGGTCCATTAATACTTTCAGATTGCTTTAAGCGAACTTTAATCTGCAAATGAGACTACATAAATAAAAATTATTTTTACATTTCTGCTGAAAGCTCGAACATTCACCCCCCTATAGCAAAGCGAAACAACTATATTTACGGTGACGTAACACACAACGGGTAGAAACTAGACAATTTCGCATCGCGTATCACTTGTCATCCGAGACACGAATATTCGAACTTTCAGCATACATGTAATAAATGATGAAATTAATGATTACGCACCACGGGACGAAGTGGACTATATCATACCGAGTGTTGTTTATAATATGTCTACAGACATAACAAGATCAAGAATTTTGTAGGCTTGGCACATGCGGAGTAGGGCTTAGCACGATGATCCATTATTTTACGAGGCAGTGCAGACAGCAATGGATGCTGTTATAATATTAGTAAGTAGTAGTAGTAATATTAGACTAGAAGATTGTCTCGCACCAAGGACTGCGGTGACCTAACGGTGTAGGTAAGGTGGTAAGTTGGTAAGCCGGTGTCTCGGGTTGTACTCGCAATCGTACTTTTTTTTAAATTTGTATATTTTTACTAATCCCTTTTTTGACGGACATGTTTAGGATCACAAGGGTACGGTGTGGAAAACAACACCTCACGAAGTGAATTTTGTCGTTGTCCTGTATTTTTTTTTTTGATATTTTTGACTGTGCTTTTGATAAACTTATTTTTTCTATGGATCGACATGTTAAGCAATACTCCGCAAGCGCCAAGACTCCAAAATTACTACTACTACTTATACCTACGACCAATGCAAATACTACTTCCGAATTACTTTTAAGTACCTATATGTACAGATTATTACAAAACTTATTACATGAAGTGTGTACATAAATTAAGTTTGGGAGTTTTCCAATTATGATTTAAATAATACCATATACCTCTTGTCTTCCAGATAATTTTCCAAATAAAATAACATGCCTTTCATCATTTCCTACACTTGCAGAAGAGTTTTTGTCTTTGGTATCAGCATGATTATCATTCAAAACTGCTTCCAGTGGATCTGAATTTCCACTATCCTCAAATATTTGAGACTGTTGTACAACTGATCTAGAGAATGTTCTTGCTTTACTAGGATATTCAACAGTAGATAATGTAACTCCTTCTAGATAAAAATTTTTAATTGTAAATGATGACACAATGTATGTTTTGTGTTCTTTAATTGCAGGATCAGTCATCTCCTCAACTGGTGGATCATTTCCTGCTTCGTCTGTGTATTCCATGCTAAAATAGATATTGAAAATCAACAATAACTATTTTCTTAATAGTACGAATTTCAAAAGATTACAAATACAGTCAAATCTCCCTTCAGCGGACACTCATAGGACCGGCAATAAGTATCCGCCAAAAAAAGGTGTTCGCTTGGGAGAAAAGGGAAACGTTATTTAAGAAGTACCTATGATGACAATTAAACGTTAAATAAACAATACTGTTTTAAATTATTAGTTCATTCTTTTAAAATTACCGCCTGATGCACTTTCCTCATAAGTTTGTTAGTAAAATGCATTTCGATAGACACTCTTAACTATGTTCGGTGTCGATGTTATTGATATTTGTATGTTTGTATATTTTTTTATAGTGTTTTTAGTTTGTATTTATTTTGTATATATCTATATGTTCTAATTTCTGTGTAACTTCAAATTGTGTTCACAAACAGCTTTGGGTCTCTTTATTATACCCTTCAGGTAGGTATCAAACGTTGGGAAAGTCCCAACTACGTCATGTCAGACTTTCTCTGGGTACATGAAAGGTGCATAGTAACAACAAAAGCGTTGACCAAGGGGTCTGTTTTACTTGAGAGGCGTATCCTATTTTGGTGCAGACTATTTAAGGCCTGGACCAAAAGTACAGATTCATTCATATTCAAAGTATTCATATGCATATTCTTATTCAAAAATTCAACTATACAAATTAATCAAATTCAAATTCAACTATACAAATCAATTAGGCATCAAATTGTACTGTACCAATTCAAGTAAAACCAATACAATTAGTGTTAGTGTAAATAAACTGTATATAGAAAAGCAGTCTTTAATTCGAAGTGTATAACTAAAAGAGCCTTCGGCGGGATACCGCCACATGCATCAACAACTAACCAAATCAAACATCAAACAAAGTATGTTATTTTTTTTAAATACAAAGCATTGCATTTATGCCATATTAATACACAAGTACTGATCAACTGACTCAAGAATGTTCCCCTGCTGCACGATTATCTACAACAGTAGTCCATTGAGCAGAAGTTTCCTGTTATTAGTGTTCCTTTTAAAACCGTCCGCGTCCTTACAAGAGAGAGTCCGCTGAGCAGAGGTCCTATTCTATGTTCTTATGGAACAAAAATGGTACTATATAAAACTGTTCGTTAGAGAGAGGTGTCTGTTAAGGGAGATTTCGCTGTATTTTGAATGAAATAAAAAATCTTACTTTTGAATATTGATTTGTAGAGCAACTCCTGTTTGACTTTCTTTTGGCACATGTTCGATTTGTATTACAGTATCAATAAACTTTACTCTCACTCTACTAAGTACTGCAATATTTTAAAATGATATCTTTAAATTCATTTCGTAATTTTGAACTTACTTGAATCTATGGTTTGAGCAAATCTTTCAATAACCTCAAGTGGCTGTGAATCAGATAAATTAACATTTTCCTGTTTAAAACACTCTTCGGCTAACTGCATGGAATTGGTCATAGAACTCCACATCGACTCAAACATAGAAGTTGCTAAAAAATATTACAATATATTTAATAAGTAATAAGTACCACATACTTGTATAATAACATACCAGATTCATTTCTTTGTTTTGGTTGTAAAGTCAGTTTTAGACCTCTAACTTCTATGAAACTCGGATCCTTTAAGAGGGAAGCCCATGGCACAGATACAAACAATTCATCTAAATAACCATCCACAAACTCTAAGGGCCAGTTTTGTTTTTCACCCAACTCATTAAGAGCCTGCGAAGTATTATTATAGATATGTTTCAAATATTAAACAATATCTTTTACTCACAATGGTAAAAAATTATTACAAAAAAAGGCACGAACTCAAGACAATAGTTTATCAGGTATTTTAAGTAATTTAACTATGTGTATTACTGCAAATTTTAAATTTATCAAAAGCCATATAAAATTTACAATTTTGCAAAAACTAATTTGAAAAGTAATTGAATAAATAAAAGCCAGTGTCTGTGATTTCCAAACATTCAACTATTACCAATTTGTTTGTTTAGTTTGTACCTTCTACATGAAATGATTTACCTAAAAACTAACCCATTACTTTATAGTTATATTTTCAGATAATTTTGGGGGATTTATTGGGATTTTCGACAATACTTATAAGGTTGTTAGAGAGAATTTCGGTTTTTTCTTTTATAAGATATGTAAGATTGCTGAGAAGACATATAAAAATGTTATTTAATTGCGTTTACATGAAAATAAACATTTTGCGTATTTATATAAGTGAAACGTAAAACGTTGTAGGTATGCACCTATGAAAAAGGAGTTATTTAAAAGTTTTTTGTGCACTCTCAGAACACACTGTTCTCTGCCGTTAATGTTATTGTATAATAAAGACCATATAATATATGACGATATTGTAAAATTCAATGAAGAAAAATCAAAAGACCAATTACTTTAGGAAGTATCGACGTTAGACTGAATAATAGAATAATACAGTAATTGTAAATAAACCACATTAAAGTACACACGTTTGCTTTAGAGAAATGCAATCATTACTTCATAGTATGATTTTCATAAATCCTGCAGTTAGGACATGCAACATTTTGCATTTCGTTTTCCAATAAGAAAACACGGTAAAGGTCTAAATGATGGCCCCCACTCCCGAAGGGGGATCGAAAGAGGTCTCCCCCACCACTGTACCATAAAATGTTATGTTATCGGGTTTTGTTCAAGTGATACCCTCTTTCGATCCCCCACCTCCAACCGCTTGAAAATAATTATTTTATTGAAGTTTATTTGAATTATAGTGTATGAAAATTGTCAAAATAATCAGCTTTCAACCCCCATAACTTTTTATGGGGGTGAGACCGCCGCAAATTTTTTATGGGGTTTTACTCAGGTGATCACCCTCTTTCGATCCCCCCCACCCCCACACCATTCGGGGGTGAGGGCCATCATGTAGACCTTTGCCATTTTTACAATCTAAGAAGTAACACATGATAAGACAGCTTTTTTTACATTTACAATTTTTCTTTGTTTTAAATATGCAAAGTAGTCAATAAAACCCAACATTATATTTCACGATCAGCGTTCCACAGCTTCATTATTATATTTTATTTTTATAAATCCCCGAGGTAGAATTATCTTACTTAACCCTTTTAATTTTTTATCTGACAGTGCATATATAGATGTATTTAAAAAGTTGAATAGAGATTAACAAAATAAGAAAAGCTATTAAAGTATTGCGTTTTAGTTTATACAGAATTGGATATTTACCTGAACATCAAGGCTAATTTTTGATACAGATCCTGTCCCATTGTACAAATCTACTGACAGTTGTTCTAAAGTTAATTTTTCTTCAAAGAATTGTCCCAGATATCTTTGTAACAAATAAACACATACCCGCTTCTTTATACTTTCGGGAAAATACCAAGGCATTTTACTCTACATCAATGTTCAGAATGTTATTTGGTCTTTCTTTGTTTTTAGCTTTTTAACATGCGACAGCTGACGTTGACAGCATTGGATCGGCTGTACTGGGCTGTACTATCTATTGGTAACTGTAGCTGTGGCGATGTTATAACAGTCCGCATGTTGAATATAACAAAATATAAATTAATAAGTAATTTTGACTTTATTAAAAGCTTGGGAATGAGAAGACTGATAAGACACTATTGCCATAGACAACTATTATCTAATTTCTTTTTCACTTTAATAAATCAAATACCACAGATCAATTATAAAATGTACATTTTACCATTGAACCTTTTACCTATTGACTTCCATAGATATATAAATGGACGTGCCTTAGCCGTATGTCGTTGTAATAATTTCTTTGCTCAAAAAGAGAGGGAGATGGCGTATGGTTTCGGACTAGTGCTATCTCTTTCATGACACGCTTATGCATTATCGTGAGAGAGATAGTTATTATCCGAAACTTCGTTCCATCTCTTTCTTTTGTTGTACCACAATTCTGACCGCTAAGTCTTGTCCTTTTGTTTACAGGAATATGGACTTAACTTCTCGTTAATTTCCAATTAGCAGAGAGCTATTAATTCCAAACCTATGCGCGAGTACAAGAAATCTCGTGTTTCAAGTTTTAACCACTGTTGTAATAGCCGTTTTCTTTTAAACTGGGAACTGTCTTTAGCACGGTCCGATTATATTTTTTAAAAGAATGATCTGACTACGTGTAGACATGAGACATGTACATAAACTACATTACGCCCAAAAAGACTAGATATAGCATAGGAGCAAAAACTTAAAGCCAAGCGAATGAATCTAAAAAGCATCGTAACTAATAAAAGATAGAAAACACGTTAGTACGTTGCGCAATGAGCGGCCGCACATCACGGTATTTTCAGTTGGCAAACATAATTATGGACCAATTTGAAATAATTATAATTCCAGATTTATTCCTTACAAAACATATGGAACCGCATGCTGTTCTTAAAAATCGTTTTTTAAACTAACTCTTTAAGGTTGAGGTTGTGTTATTAATTTAATTGTAAGCCAATTTTCAATCACCTATTTTTGTCAATTTGTCATAATAATTTTCTTTTTTAAAGTTCAGCTTATTAAAACAAATATTTCAGTCGCTTTGTTTAGTCTGTACCTACACAAATTTATTGAAAACTATAGTAAATCACCCGAATAAACAATAAATATATGAATTTAGAGGTTATTTTTATGATTATATGTGGATTAGACTAATGGCTAACATGACAATAAAAGGAAATTAAAAAATAATAAAAGGGGTCAAATTTAAAAGCTCGGAGGTGCCGTACGGGAAACACATCCTAAATAAAAACTTGTTATATATCTATGACTATCATTTCTATTATTACAATTAATCCATCGATGTTTACGTCATATACATTAGTATACGTCCATGAGTGTATCCACAGTGAAAGTATGGTGTCAGTGTTAATCATTATGTGAACGTAACCATACTTTCGTAACCCTTGAAAGTCTGCTAAAGTTTCGTATATTACTGTTAACAGATTGTCGATTATAATAAGCGAATAGTTATAAAATAATTTAATAGTCATTACTGTTCTAAAAACATGAACGGAAAAGAATATACTGAAAACAACATATTGAAGAATGAGGTAGAGGATGATGTAGTGGACCCTTGGAATGTTGTTAGTAAATCGGAAACTGGTGTGGACTATGATAAGCTATTAAGTGAGTGTAGTTGTTTAAGATTAAAAAATATATACGTAGCCTAAATTAATTACTTTTATTCATTTTAGAACGTTTTGGAAGTTCTAGAATTGATTCAGAACTATTAGAACGCTTTGCAATAGTTACTGGTAAACCCAACCACCATTTCTTACGTAGAGGAATTTTCTTTTCTCATCGTGATATGAACAGTATTTTAAATAATTTTGAGTCAGGAAAACCGTTTTATTTGTATACTGGCAGAGGTCCTTCCTCTTCTTCAATGCATTTAGGTCATTTGATTCCTTTTATTTTTTGTAAATGGTTGCAAGATGTATTTAATGTTCCTTTAATTATTCAACTAACAGACGATGAAAAAAGTCTATGGAAGGATATAGATATAGAAGAAGCAAATAAATTAGCATATGAAAATGCTAGAGATATTATTGCGGTTGGATTTGATGTTGAAAAAACATTCATTTTTTCTGATTTAGAATATATAGGGTAAATTAGTTTAACAATTTTAACATCCATAACTGATTAATCCTATTTTTCAGGCAATGCCCTAATTTCTATAAAAATATGGTAAGGATACAAAAATGTGTCACCTTTAACCAAGTAAAGGGAATATTTGGATTTGGTGATAGTGATGTGATAGGGAAAATTAGTTTTCCGGCTGTGCAGGCTACACCATGTTTGTCTACCTCATTTCCTCATATTTTTGAAAACAAAAAAATTCCTTGTCTAATACCATGTGCTATTGATCAAGATCCATATTTTCGCATGACAAGAGATGTTGCTCCTCGAATAGGATTTCAAAAGCCAGCTCTACTTCATTCAGTTTTCTTTCCTGCTTTACAAGGTCCCAAAACTAAAATGTCAGCCTCTGATCCTAATTCAACAATTTTTTTAAACGATACTCCAAAGCAACTTAAAAATAAAATTAATAAACATGCATTTTCTGGAGGTAGAACTACAATTGAAGAACACCGACAATTTGGTGGTAATTGTGATATTGATGTCTCTTATCAGTATTTAAAATTTTTCTTAGAAGATGATGAAAAATTAGAACAAATTCGTAAAGACTACTCAAGTGGGGCTTTGTTGACAGGAGAGCTTAAGAAGATTCTCATTGAAACTTTAACTCCAATATTACAGCAACATCAGGAAAGGCGAAACAAAGTTACAGATCAAGTTTTAAAACAATTCATGACACCACGAAAGTTAAACTATAATTTATAAGGTGCAATTTTTGTATAATAGGATTCAGATAAATATAAATTTATTTATTTCTTTGGTTTAAAACAGCTAAAATATTTATAAGTCCATTGTTATTTTATCTTGTAATTTTTATACTTTAGGCACACTAAAACGTAATTCATACAAGTGCAAATACATTGGTTGAAATAATATAAAGTAATCTCATTGATTAAAATTGAATTAGTTAAATAAAACATGCATTTTATTTCTTTGGTTTGTATAGTTTGAAGCATCAAAAATAATTACTGTAACCAGCATCGTAGAAAACGAAACAATTCGGATTTGTTAGATAAAAATAAAACTAGGCTATGTGGAAAGTCCAAGTGCGAGTTACATTACATTCTAGCAAAGTTTGGGACGTCGTCGACGGCTCATCACTAGCTGCTGCTTCTGTGCAAAATATTAACCAGACAGTTTTGTTCCCATACAGTGTTTATCCTTAGAATGTTAAAAAATTGTGTGTTCGATGTTAGAGATTTTTATATATATGCCTGTTTTATGTTCAGCGCATGTTTTGAGGGCGTAAAATTTGAACAAATAAATTTCAGTTTTTATACTCATAAAATGTATAAATCATTGTTTGGTAAGACGTAAGACACACATACATATATACGTGGTGTTTTAACAAGGAGACAAAGCGGGTCTATCTCGACAGCGCAGCGGTAAGATCTACAAGTTCAGGAAAAAATCCTTATAAGCTGGCTAGAAATTACTTTCAAATTCGAATTTTTACCGTTAGGGGCGTGACTAATAAGATGTAGGATCCAGGACGCCAAATTTAAGAGCCAAATGTCAACTTGGTGCAGCGCCCAACTGATTAATGATTCAAAGCACATTCTCGGCGGCCACATGACAATAATAAAGTATATGTGGTTGCACAAATAATTTTTTCCGCCCTTTACAATGGCACTTTATGTAAGTCATGAGCATATTATTCCAGAGATGGGATGGTACAATTAGCCGACCAACCTATGCATGAAATATTGTTGGAATTTTATAATATTCACATATGATAGTCTTTTCTGAACAAGTATAAATACCAGGCTGCAACGCGATGGAAAATAAGTCTTCATCACAAAGGAGTCTCCAAAAATTCATCAACTTAAGGGAATTCCCTAAAACGTCGGGTTGTAGCTTAGAATTTCTTCTAGTCTCATCATCATAAGATCGTCAGTCCTAAGACTGGTTGGAAACGCACCTCCACTCCTTCCTATCCTGAGCTAATCTTCGTATTTCCCTAAAACTAGAACATCCCATATCCTTAACTATTTGCGAATGGTAATCTAATCTTGGTTTATTAATAAATTGCAAGGACCAACCCGAAAACTCGTACTACATTATATGACATTCCAGTGATTGACATCCTTAACAACCTAGTACTGACAATAGTATTACCACCGAACACAGCTCGTTCTCCATCATCCACGCCAACAAAACTATCGCCGCAGCGAAAAATTTGGCCCCAGAAGACTCGATGCCTTCTGTAGTTGTTGGGTTCGTGTTTGGACAGCGATTAAAAGCCAAAGTAATTGTACCGTTTTTCTTTTGTTTAATTAATTCACTTATTTTTTTTTATTATTATTACCATTTTTGTTGTATTCGTTCATTCGTACATTAATTAAAAATTGTTGTTCGCATGGTGGTTAAATGTTTGGACATTTGCCTGGTTTACCTTCCCTTAGATCGGGTCCTGTCCAGGTTCTCGGAAATAACTATATAGACTACGTTAGGTTTACCGGTCGCACACAAACCGCAATGATTAGCTTTGGACAAATTGTAAGCCGTGAAAAAGGAATATGTTGAAACTGAGAATCGCTAGACTATCCCAATGCGGTTGGTCACCCCAGCTGCACCGAAGCAAGGAAACTAATGGAGAACGTGTGACGATTATTGCAGTTTGAATGCTTGAACCAATCCTGACAGATATGCTGTACACCACATACGGGACCTCTCCCAAACACTTTCAGGAAGAAGTATTTCTCTACCATCGACCTAGTGAAAGTCATCAAATTCTAGTAGCTGAAGAACATATTATTAAAACAACTATAACAATACCACTCGACTTATTTGAATTTCTTTAATGAGTTTTGGACTTCGGAATGTCGCACAAACCTTGCAAAGGTTCGTAGTCGAGGTGTTTCGTGGAATGAAATTATATATACTTCCTTACGTCAGAAAGTCGGAGCAACATGAGCAAATTTGAAGACCCTTTCCGAATGACTATGGCACTTTGGAATGATTATTAACCTTGCGTTTTTGGGTATGTTAATCTTCCAGAGATGGTTCGTACAAAATGTAGCGAAGGTCCAAGAAATGTTGGAATTACCAATTACAAGGAAATACAAAAGGGAAAATACCAGTAGCATAGGCATTATTAACAAAAATATAACTTGAAGCAGGTGAGGAAAGTTTGTTGGTGAATTATTAACAATAGAGCGAAAATATGCAGCCTACTGTAAAGAATTGTTAGCTATCCGAGCTTGCTGCGATAAAATATTTCCGCAGTATATTTGAAGCTAGGTAATTCGTAATGTATACAAACTAATAACGCTAGTTTACACATTTATGAAAAATGAAATTGTCCCAACACACATTTCATTTTCACAGGTTTACTGTAAATTATGATTTGGTTTTTACACAGACCGCAAATAGTGGCAATGATGCCCAGTCACGTGGAGAGCCGAGGTAAGAAAATAACAGCTGAGAACAGCATACGCCGCCGGTACTCTAGCGGACTCCCCGCTCTTCTTGCAGCTGCACATTATATCCATCTAATACAGCCGTTGCCCTCTCCCTCACCGCTAACCCTTCCCTCCGGCGTTGCTGCCTTTCACCACGCGATATACCGTCTATAAAAAAGTTTCACTTCAAAAAGAAAAGCAGCGCACACCTCGTCAGTTTAGGTACCTGGATCTTATTCGACAATCTTTTACGGATATTCGCCTAGTCTAAGAGAAAAAAGGATTTCACAGAGTTGTGAAGCATGCCGGCTATCCAAAGTTACTCGTTATACGAAATAGCCACTTAGAACTTTCGCAGTATGTTCAGGACATTTTGAACATGTGCATTTCCACATTGACATTATGCCAAGTTAAGAAGGCTTTAGGTAATATTTATCTCTTGTCGATATTTTCTCGCTGACACGAAGTGATACCCATGGATGACTAGGAAACAACAACAGTAAAGACGTTTTTCTCGAACTGAATTGCAAACTTGTACTGTCGATTTTCGGACATTAGCATATACATCTACGTCTCCTCCGAGAATTAAAAGAAGCGATACTGTATCATGCCGTTTCCCGTTGGGCGGAAATTCTTGTTGTTTCTATAGATCGGCTCAAACCAGCTTTTGCTGTCAAATTTTCGTGATCTCTATCATTGACAGGAACCGTGTTAACAGCCGCAATGTTTTTTTTTTTCACTGGATTGTGTTGTGAATTTTCTAGTATCTGTTTTATTAATTCAAAAGATATTATATTAAAGTTTTTACTCACAATAACAGTAACTAAACACTTAAACTAATCCATATACCAACACCGATTGTTAACCAGATCCCTATTTATATTATGATTGAATTCTCTAGAACAGTCCCCATTCTTTTCGCGAATTCTGCATCTTCTGTTGCTAATCTATTAAAAAAAATGGGAAGTATCATTTTACCATTTTATAATAACGAAGGTATCAAAATGAATTCCCTTATTAGCTGTTCTCATGAAATTATACGAAATTTGTTAGAAACGCCATTATGAATAAGTAAACATAAAATCCTAACTAGTTATTGCTTAAAGTAGATTCCATGTATTATGAAAATTGACAGAAAACATCAAGAAAGAAATAATTTTAATTATATAGTTACTTTGATTACCTATTAAAATATAAAATACTGTCTCGTATGTAAACACCTTTGCACATCTTTACTACTTTTATTTAACTATTTGCTGTCTAATTAACACTTCTATTATTAATTAGTTATCAATTGACCATTATATGAGCAGATCGTCGCTGTTTCTTCTTCGCTTTGTATCACCCCTAACTCGTTCTCGTACTGCTTCACTCGATCTCGCGACAACTATCTATGGAGGCTGGCGGTGAAGAAGGATGTAGGATACGCTGTCTAGAAACCTGGTGTTTTTGGCCACTATGTATGTCTACATTCATGTGAAACTGCTCTCCCCTAAAACTAATAGTTCCAATTAGTAACGTCGCGTCTGTAGGGAACAAGCCGATCAAGGTGGACGATCTTCATTTTTGCCTGAGGTTCCTTCTGAATGCGATAAACAACGTCGTTCATGCGTCGAGTAACGGTGTATGGACCATCCCAAGCTTGTAGTTTCGGGCAACGACCCTTCCACCTTGATGGGTTGTATAACCAAACCGTATCGCTCTCATTAAAACCAGCACAGTTGGTTCGTTGATCGTATCTGGTTTTCATGTGGTCACTTTCAAATCGCAGTTTCATATGCACAGCATTATGGATGGCTTCTAGTCGTTCTCATGGTTCGCTTACGTATTCGTCTGTAGGTACTGGAGAGTCTTCAGGACGACCAAACATCATGTCCGCTGGCAACCTGAGCTCTTTCCCAAATAAAATGCTGGTGGGTGCTATTCCAGTTGTCTCATGGATGACGCATTTATAAGCCAGGAGATATGTGTCGGTCCCGGTCAGTTTGGTGCTCGTTGATGAAGCTTCTTACATTAGTCTGCAGAGTAGCATTAAATCGTTCAACCATTCTATTATACTGTAAGGGCGTAACCTTCTTTTAGTTCAGTGATGTTCTTGAACAAACAAACGAATTTCCTGCCTTGGTCGGAATGACAAGTTTTTTTGTGTGCCTAATAACTTTTCGTAGTTTGACTTAGGTGGCTTACATCTGCGGTTCCAGCTTCTTTTAGTTTTGACTTTTCCATTTCTTCTTTCATTTCTTTTATCTTCTTTTCCATCTCATCACTTATATCATTTATGTTTTCCTCCATCCCTGCATTTATTGCTTCTTGTACTGCTTTAATTTTCTGTTTCATTTCTTCTGGAGTTGCTTTTAATTCTTCTTTCATTTCTTCTTGAGTTGTTCTTGTGTCAGTTTCACGTCATCTTATACTGCTTCCATTTTCTGTTTCATTTCTTCTTGTCCTGTTTTCATGTCTACTTTTATGCCTTTATTTGTTCCTCCATTTTCGCCAGTAGCTTTGGTCGTAACAGACATGTAATATCTCGATTTCTTCTAGAAAGTTCCATAAAATCCTTCGATTTTTGTAAAATCGGTTTTCTCTCTTCGGGAGCTTTCCAACGATGTATGGTTTCTTGGGGTAAGTCACGATCGGTAGAAACTTCTAGATACATCGATGGAAGTTTTTGATAATGTCGGATTTATTTTTCTTTCTTCAAGAGCTATTCAACGATATTGAACTTGTTAGAGTTTCTTGCAGTCAGTGAAAACTTCCAGAATGTTCGATGAAATTTTTCAATGACGTCAAATTCTTTCTTCACTCTTTTAGAGCTTTCTAACGGTATATCACTTGTATTGCCTCAATCTCGTCCTCGTACTGCTTCACTCGATCTCGCGACAACTATTTATAGAGGCTGGCCGTATTCTAGAATGATCTCGTATTTGCCGTCTAGAAACGTGGTCTTTTTTTCATTATGTATGTTGGGTTGCCTATATACACGTGACAATACTTTTTTACAAGTTAGTATTTTTATTTATAGACAAAATCTGAAATAGTATTAATTTTTTTGATGCTTAATTTCATAATTCGAGAAATATAACTGAATACCTTGTTATAAATCAGACTACTGTTTCATTTTTATAAAAAATTTTATNTATTAATTTTATTGAAAATTAATATTACATATTGTGGTTTCTTTTAAGCATATAGATACAAACATGCACAGGTACGTACTCGGCATTACTTGTTAGACTAAGGAAAATAGAAAGTAGTTTAGGATTTTGATTTTATTCTTAAAAACCGAAACAGCCCTTGAAAGGTAAGTTTCTTTCCTTTAAATTTTTTTGGTTCTCGTTTATTTTCTTTTTCATGAATAAGTTTCTCTGCCTTCGCAAGGTACGGACTTTTTTCTTGCTTCTTAAATCCTTCTGTAGTAAATGAATTTAAATGTTCTGAATCTGACGCTAATATAACTTCTTGGCGTTTGAATACATTATCGGGTTTAGTTACAATTTCAGTCATTTTAATAACATTGGACGAAGTTTTATTCCACCTAAATGAGTCAGATAGGTACAGATATTCTGTTTTTAATTTTTCACCATCGTTGTTATTTAAGTTATTAACATTTTCATTAGTCGTTTTATTATGCTTCGATTTAATCTCAGGAACAATTTTGCAATTTGTATAAGGGAACTCATGGGAATTTTCTGTTAAAAAAAGGTATTAATATACATAAGTGCATATTATCATTTTAAATTCCGTGCTTTCGGGCTGACTGAAACTTCATTTTAAAACAATAAGAAAAATTCTATAATAACCTAGAAAGGGCAACACCAAAAAAAAAATGAGCAAAGAAGACGAAATTTTGGTTCTGAATTTTTTAAAATAAATTAATTATGCTTTCAAAGAATTGTATGAATTGACATTGTTAACTTAATATGCATAAAGATAAAAGCGTGGTTTAGAAGTCTGTCCTGCTTTTGTCCTTTAGTTAAACGAGCATGCGCACAGTTAACAAGAACGCAAAAACAATCTGACTGCGCATGTTCGTTTTAGTGATGTATAGCTATAAGAAGACTAAGCTTTCTCTTACTCTTGGTGTTAGCGAGAGTATAGGGTTAAATGTGAATTGCACTTATTATTATTACATTTTTATGCTTTTATGAACAGCGCAGTATTTTTTCACACTTACCTATTCTGATGGTGGACACTTGAGACATTAAACTCGGTTCACTTTCTGATTCAATTAAATCTCTTTTTTTATGAATATTATTCCTGAATAGGTTTTCTGTTAAAACCTCTGAAATATGTTTTTGTATAGTTTTCTTTTTCGAATGGTTAACTTTTAAATTTTTCATTTCTGTATCAAACGAAATTAACACTCTTTGTGAACGGCTTTCTTCATTGTTTTTTATCATAAACATAAAACCCGACTTTAAAAAATTGTCACGTTCATTCATGTTTCGTGGACAGTAATATTTTTGGTTAGATTGCCATTTCTTCCTGCCGTTTTTCTTGCAAGCATTAGTAAATATTTTGCGATCTGCTTTAATAGAATGGTTAACTTGAGTTAGTTTTACTTGTTCATAGTCGCATTTGTTATTTGATTCGTATAATCGAAAATTGCAGTGCGATGTGCATTCGTTCTTCAACGATTCTACCATATTCAAATAGTCTTTTAATTTGATGTACAAATCAAAGTTAGAAGTTGCAGTAAAAGTAGTGGTCTGTTGATAAGCAATATTAGTATCTTTACAAGTTTGTGTGAATTCGTTTTTTGTTAAAGTTTCTTCATTTAACGTTGGAAGCGAAGTTTGTGTTCTATTTTTCAGGTCAAGTGATGATTTTTTATTAGTATTACATTTATTTATGGCATTAAATAAATATTTTTCTTCATTTACCATATCTTTAATTATAAATGGATTATCTATTATTTTTGTTGGATATTTCTGCGAAGGTTTTATTGTCAATGTTACAAATGTTTATTTCAATTTTTGGTTGTTTCATCATTTTGATGCTGTTCCATTTTCGTTTTCTTTCCAGACAAGAGAAAAGTGCACACTTAAGTATAGAGTAAATTGATGTTGGTAGATAAAAGGATATTTGGTATAAACGAAATTATTGGTTCCCTTTGTTCATTGATCTTTGTCTTTGTGATCTACAGATATTAGCCTGTGCACTAACACATATATTATATTTTTGACATGTATTTTTGCTATTTATTCATATTTACGTTTAATTTATTTATTTGAATTTTAATGACAGGTTAGAAACTGACATCCATCCTTCACTTCCTAATTTTTTGAAAAATATTTACTTTTATCGTAGAAATATTATCCACGCGTAGATGATCTGTACTTGAATGTACATACAGAGATCCCTTACGTAGATTTGAACGTTTTAATAAGATAAAGAAATTTAGTCATCCAGTACATAATAATTGAAGGATATTTTAAGGGAGGAAAGGCGAATAACCGATGCAAGGACGTAGGGGAACAGGTTGAAAGAAAAAATCTAATTAAGATTGTTCATGAAGAAGGAAGTAGATATTGCAATCGCTAGGAGGGAGTAGATTATATTCAATAAATATAAAAGGAATGGGACAAGCAAGATCACTCGAGCTCGAACCATTCTAGTTTCTATACGTACTTGCGATCAGCAACATTTTCTACCGTTTTCTTACCAGCTACCGCAGCCGACGAACACAACAACCGGTAGTTATACCTGCCTGTATAGGGACGACGTATTAAACCAGGTGGTTTAATATTCACTAATATCTGTAAGTTTTCAACAATTGCCCAGCCGTTTTAGGTAAGTTTAACCAATTTAAAATATTACTAACCAACAGTTCTTTGGGACGGAATCCGCAAAGTCCCTCTGAACTCCCTTAACCTCCACCAATAAAAACCTAACATTTTCTTATTTTGTATCATGTACACTACGTCCCAAGGAGTAGGTTAGCTTCTTTCGCCAGCCATATCGAAATGGCTACCCCCAAGAGCCCCGCACTCTTGGAGGGACTCTCCATTGCGGAAGTTATGCCCTTAGCCAGCGAGCTGCAGTCCAAGCTCGCCATAATCAACGAATTCTTGCGACAACACTCCGAAAGTTCCTCATCTTCCCTAATGTGCAAGGACGTCGTGTCTTCTTCTACTGCACTGCCGCTGACGGCTTCACAGGACACAATCCTCAACGTCCTCTGATTCTGAGGCTGAGACCGGCGCAACTAGATAACTCCAAAGCCTAAAGCCTCTCTCCCCATCGAAATCTGCCAAAAGTCCCTTTGGCCGAAAATTCTTCGCGCCATAGACAACCACGGCATCGCCACACGTCGGGCCATAAATACTAAAGACACTGTCAATTTATTTCTGAATTTCCTTCTGTAACTTTAAATTTATTTCTACTCCTCGATCGTCTCTTCCTTTAGATACTCTTTTTTTTACTTTCTGGAACCCTCTAGAAACATCCGGATCGTTTGTTTTTTCTTTGAACTGTTTAACTGCTTTCCCAGAACGCAGGTACGACACACACACATTTATAAATACGGCGCACATGAAGAAAGGTGTCCACGGTTAGTCGGAGAATCGATAAGCTGTTCACGCGCACGTGTGCCCGATCGCACACAAACACGTTCCTGCTCGCTACAGTATCTATATGGGTGCACACTATTTAGATGTTGCAGAGAAATCACTTAACGGTACCTACTAACATTTTGACTTAAAAGTCGTGTTCTTCGGCCCAAAGGCCTTGAAAAATTTCATGTATAAATTGGCAATGACCAGATTCAGTTGGCTTCCCATGGCAATAATGCCCATTAATGGTAATAAACTTACAAAACCAAAGATAAAAAGTAAACCGTTTGACTGAATTGTATTTGATTGAAGTTTGTTATAAACTTTTATTCCAAAGTGATGACGCAACAGGTTGGCCGGATATATTGTTAGCATATATATAGGAGAGCCGGTAGTGCTTACTATGGGACGTAGGGCATTGCTTTATATTTACACGTGTATTTGTATTATTAGAACAAAGGTTTTCACGGCCGGAATCCATAGTAGAATGCAGATTCGGGCTATAGGGCCGTGGTCTAAGTGAACCATTCCGTCCAGACGTTTCGTCAGCTACTGCGGCTGACATCTTCAGTGGTAGTGCTGCGTTGACAACGTGAACGTAGATTGTATCTCGATGTCTCCACAGCGACTGGGTGGAGAGCTGAAAAAAAAATTTTGGATGTTTCATTCCCACCAGCCAGTAATGCTGGTGGGCGGGCAGTCCCTCCGGAGTATGCCGGAAGGTAGGGCGGAAGGCCCTCTTCAGCCTGCTTTCAGGAATCGTGGGAATGGGTGGGTGGTGGTTCGGGTTAGAAAGATGAGACGGACGAAATGAAGACAGAAGAGAGTGAAAGATTATCTGTGGAATATTACTGCCTCAGCATTTGCCTAAGTGATCCAAGGAAACCACAGAAAAACTTGGACCAAGGCAGACGGACCCGGAATTGAACCGGCGTCCTCCCGAATGCTAAGCAATGGTCTAGACCTCTAAGCCATGCCGCTTGGTGGTGGAGAGCTGTTTTTTTTTTTTTTTTGTTTTCGTGGAGGAGAGGAAATCTTCAAAAGACACCCGGCCGCCCGCGCGACCGGGTAGTGTCGGATTCATCCCGGAGGACGCCTACCGACTAAAAACCTCTCCCCTTCAGGCCGTTCTAGGGCCTCTAGGCCTTCTTCAGCCGCATGGTGTTGTTCTTACTATTTGTGGAGTATTTTAGTAAGATGTGGGCGTTGCAACAGGAGTATTTCGTCTGGAGTTGTGGCTCCTTTGAGTTGGTTGGCGAGGTTGATTATTGCAGTCTTGAAGGTAGTCAGGTCGACTTTGTCAAATATTGTTGTTGTCTCTGTTGAAGTTGAAGGGTTTTCCGTTCTTGGCTTCCCCGCTGTTGTTTTCGCATATGAGATCCCTTGTCGGACGGTAGACGCGGTGGCCTTGGTTGAGTTGATAGGCTTTGGTGTCTTTGGTGTCTTCGTCGTGAAGGCCTTGCAACCCCGGTAGCTAGCGGGGTGTGGCCCTTCGCAGTTGCTGGTTCTTCCTTCGGCTTCGTGCATTGGGAAGAATGGTGAAGGTCTGCACATTTTACGCATCGCGGGGCCATCTTGCAGTTCCTTTGGACATGTCCAATGCGCTGGCAGCGATGGCATTGCGTGGGTCGTCGTAGTTTGCGGTACATCTCAATTGAAACACGTAGGTGGCAACATGTCTTGATGCCTTTGATTTTTTCCCCAATTTCTTTGGGCGCGATAATTAGGACCAGGGGAATCTCCTTGGACCGGCTCTTCATCCTATGAACGGTTGTATCGCTTATCCCTTTTCCCTCAAGGTCGTTCGAGACGTCGTCGCATGACAGCGAGGTGGGAATACCCTTCATGACGTATTTTATCGGTCGTTTACGGTCGCATGTATAGGTGTAGTAGTAGCAGTCAATTCTGTCCAACAAAGCCTGCTGTGGTCTTCTTCGGTGCAGGGTTGTATCCTAACTCCATTTTTGGTGCTCGTTGCATGGTCGAAATTTACGTTGTTTAGTTGCAGCTTCTTACGTATTTGGTTCCAGTCTTCATTATAGTGTATGATCACTGGTGGGATTTTGGGTTGGTCCGTTGACTCGCAATGTAGAACTTCGAAGCTGTTCGACGTTGTTACATTCGTGGCTGTTCTCTGATCGTAGGTCAGCTTTCTCGTCTTCTTCGGGATCTCGAAACCTTCGTCTAACTCCATGGTCGATTAGTCTTAAAAAAGACTATTTTTTGTCACTGAAGAACTCTAGTATTGAGCAGTTGTTGTCGACCGCTGCTGTATATGTTGCTGTCTCGAAGTCCGAACCGGGAGTGTGGAGGTTTAGATTATGCTCGAGGAGGGGAAATCTTCAAAAGACACCCCCTGAAGGGAGGTAGTGTCGGATTTTTACCGACTAAAACCCCTCCTCGAGCGGGGAGGTAAACCCTGTGGATTTTTCATCCCCGGGAGACAAGTGGAAAGCTGGGGATTAGGGATAGGGTTGAGATGGGAAATCGGCTAAAAGTGTTGGTGGACGGGAGTATTGGGGAGGAAACGGGAGTAGATGGTCCACTTCTGATGTGGTGGGTGGACACTCGCGCTAAAAAGCGAAACTAGGAAATAAATTTGAGCGAAAGAGGGCGGCTCATTGTAGAAGGTGACAGGGCCTTCGGAAACGGTCGTTGGGTTTCGGTGTGAAGTTGGAGAGTGCCGAGATGGTGGGGTTTGGGTGGCCTGACACTGAGGCCCGAAGATTTGCCGCGAATGTGATTGCAGCCTCGCGGAGGAAAGGTAGACCGGTTTCAGTCAGAATTTGGGTGTTTCTGACGAACCACGGGTAGTTAAGTGCGGAGCGAAGAATCCGCATGTAAGTGCCTTGCAAGGCTTTCAGGTGGTGGGGAATTTGGTCTGTTGGGAGATGGTGTTGTTTCGAAAGAAAGGTTTAAGTGCGATGAATGCACCCAGAGCCTTGTTGCGTGTCGCTTTAATGTGGGGCCGCCAGTTTAGGCATCTGTCTAAAACGACGCCTGGGTACGTAACAGAGGTGCTCCATTGGATGGGGCGGTTGTTGACAATAATGGAGGGAGGTTTTCGGAGCCTACGGGAAAAGAAAATTGCCTTCGAGTTGGTCTCGTTAATTGAAAGTTTCCATTTCCGATACCAGTTTAGGAGCTGGGGTAGAAACCTATTGATTCTTGCTGTACATTGGAGAATGGTACTTGAAGAGTTTATGATAGCAATGTCATCAGCGTACAGGGCAGTCAGAATTGAAGTGTGGGAGGGCATGTCCGCGCAAAACAGGTTAAACAGAACAGGGGATAGTTTGGAGCCTTGTGGGACACCGGCTGTGACGGGTTTACTGGCAGAAAGAGCAGAGCCAACGCGGACTCGAAGGCTTCTGTCTGTGAGGAAGGACCTGATAACCCCAACTAGAAAGTGTGGGATGTTGAGGGCGATGAGTTTGGAAATAAGACCTTCGTGCCAGACTCGGTCGAAGGCTTGTTGGACGTCAAGAAGAAGCATGGAAGTGTGACGCCGCTTGTTGAGGTTGTCGGAGATGTGTTCAGTAACACGAAGAAGTTGGTGTCCGGTGCCGTGTTGCCTGCGGAAACCGTGTTGAAAATCAGGGAGAAGGTTGTTTTGCTCCACGTTGTCTAAGAGCCGAACGAGAAGGACGGATTCTACTACTTTGCTCAGCAAACTGAGCAGGCTGATGGGCCTGTAGCTTGAGGGAGAGCTGAGCGGCTTCCCTTTTTTGGGGAGACAGATGACAGTGGCTTCTTTCCAGACCAAAGGAAAGTGGTGGAGCCGCATGATGGCGTTCTGTTTAAGAGGCGGAAGATGGGGAGCTCTGTTACGAAGGGAACGGATCACTTTCCAGGTGCTTCGTGGATGTTTTTCTGCCTGAGCGATATAGTCGTCGAAGGATGCGCTGCGGAATTCGGTGAGACGAGTTTTTAGTTCTCGTTGAAGGGCGTTTACCTCTGCACGTTGGGCGGGGACGCGGTATTTATTTCACAGACGTCGGGCCTTGTTTTTCCTCTTAAGGAGGTCAAGGATGTCTGCTGGGAGGGTTCTGTCTTTGGTGGGCGTTGGGCGGGAAGTAGTGGAGAGTTCGACTGCGCTGGTAATCTCGTTTGATTCACAGCTTCGTCAAGTTCCGCTATTGTGCGAATTGGAGTGCACTTGAATGAAGATTTTTCCAGGGTGTAACGAAGGTGCAATCAATCTAGTGACGTGGTTGGGTTTGGGGGGTTGAGGATTGGGCGGCCGACTTCAATAAGGGCTGGGAGATGGTCCGAGCTTAATGCGTCTAAGACGATAGGATCGGCGGAGAGTGTGACATTTTTCGTGACGAAAATGTCAAGAATGTCAGGGGATTGATGGTGGGGGGTAGGGAGGAATGTGGGGTCAGATGGTGCTTCAACTGTGAGGTTGAACTGAAGAATTTTCGGCCAAAGGGACTTCTGCCGTATGACGATTGGTGGTGGAGACTTTTGGCTTGGACTTGGTTCTAAGTCCGATTCATTGTCCGAGGAGGAAGATGACTCGGACGAAGACAGAAAAGGCTGTTGTCGCCGGCGCTTGTTAGCGCGTTTGCCGGCCTTGACGAAACCGTCGTTCTCTCGGCGGTCCGTGTGCGGTAGACGGGTAACGGCACTGTCGGAAATGACCTTGGGCACAGTTGGGGCTGGCGTTGGGTCGGATTGGTTGGAGTTAGCGTTGATTACTACAGATGAAGACTCCATGTCTTCTGTCACGGGCGAATGAATTCGTTTACCTGGGCGAGTTTGGCCTGAAGGTCACTGGCCAGGGCAATGGCGTCCGCAAGGGAAAATCCCTCCAAGAGTGCGGAGCTCTTGGGGGTAGCCATGTTGAAAATGGCTAGCTAATTGGATGGTATGTGACTTCGCACAATCAGGAAAATAGGTATGAAATAGAAGAAAATATATTGGCTTGTTGTAAGTTGTAAGTTTGTTGTGTTAGTAAGTAGGGTNTCTGTATATGTTGTAGCCGGTCACGTGGTATTTTTCTTTACGCGAGGACAGTGTTTCTTGTAACGCGAGTACGTGTATTTTATCAGTGAGTAAGGTATGAATGACGTTGTTCTTTTTTCGTTTCCATCCGCACGTGTTGACCGTCGAAATTTTCAGGTCTGTGAATTTAATTAACGGGGATGTGAGCTACCGATAATATTGATAGGGGTTTATGAGTGAGAGTATGTTTTAGGTGTCTGCAGGTGTGTGATGGATATATGGACATGACTGCCGCGCATGACGTACGACACTTTTCGCCTGAAGAATTGAGCGGCGTGTCGGGCTACTACGTCTTCGACTAGTCTGGAATTGGGGTGAAGGGAAGACATGCAGAGGTAGGTGGCAGATAGTTCGGGAGATGAGTCATCGTCGTTGTCCGATAACTCTTCGGCGGGAGGATCGACTCACTTTACAGGTGCAGTCTTAGAGGGAGTGAGGGTTTTCGGGTCTGGTCTTTTGGGACATTTACTGTCAAAGGCAAGGTGCTTGTCTTTGCAGTTGGTACAGGAAGGTGAGGACGTGCACGTGGAAGGATCGTGCTTTAGACCGCAGCGGTAGCAGAGCGGTTTCTGGTGACAAGAAGAAGTATTGTGGCCGAATGCGAAACATTTGCCACACTGAAGCGGCTGAGGGCCAGGGGATTGGGAAGGTTCGCACCGATAATTCTTGGAGAACATTTTGAAGCCGTTAGAGAGTAATCTGTCGATGGACTTAGGACAGTTCGAGATGATCCAGAACAGGAAGGTGTCCTGTCCCGTTTGCCTGGATTTAATGCGCCAGGCATTTTTGGCTTCAATGTTCTGGTCACGGAGAGCAGTGAGGATGTCTGTTGGCGAGATGTTCATATCTACTGAGCGAGCTACACAGGAGAAGGTAGGTTTAAAGGGAGAAGGTCTGTTAGGTGTCGGAAGCAGAGGTTTTTTGGATTTGTTATCCCTCAGTTGGATTTCTATCTTTTCGGATATAGTGGATCATAAGGGTTTCATCTTTTTAATTAGGTCGGGATCTCTGGAGGTAACGACAGCTTTGTTATCTTTAAAGACAGTTAGGTTAAGGAACATAAGGGAAGGTAGGCCTTTAAGGGTGTTATAAAGGTCTTTCTGGTTGCACAGTTTGGTAGGTATGTTTGTTATTAAGGCGGCTAGGATTGGGAGAGCGTTAAGTGGTTGGGGAAGTCTAGGTGCAGTGGTAGAAGCTGAAGTAGACGAGGTTGAGGAATAAGACGAGGAGCGTCTACGGGAACGTTTTACGACTTGGAACGGTTGTTCCTCGGGGGAGGAAGTCCTAGGGTTCTTGGTCGTTGGAGTATTCATGGTTTGTAATTTGTTTATCTATGTGTGTGTTTNGTTAGCGCGTTTGATTACAGGGGTAGTGTTAATTCAGAGGGACGTTGCGTACTCGGTCCCTAAGAATGTCGGTTAATAATAAAATGATTTTAAACTTTTCTTACCGGTAACGGCTGGGCAGTTTATAACTCTTGGCAGTGGCTGTAATAAAATTGCAAATAAATTGCGGGTATCGAACTTGAAGTAAGCTGGATGTCTGCTGACTGCTGCTCTGATTTAGCTGGTTCGCTGTTGGTTGCTGCTTGTCGGCTGGTCTGCTCTCTTCGAAGGTTCGATGTGGTATGAAGAGCTGGCTGATCACTGATATTTATACTTTGGCACAGTGGGAGGGGCAGGGGCGTGGTTTCGTCGGCGTCAGCGTCGGCTTGACTCATCCGATGAACGGTCGGTGTACTCGAATGGCTTGTTAGTGTATTCGGCGCTTTCTGCGTAGTTTTCCTTAGGACTGGGTACCATACTTTATTCAAACGAAGCCCTTCTTCTTTTCTGTTGAAATTAATCGGATGTTTATAAATTTCAATAGCTTCTCTATGTAAGCGAGCATAATATTGTGAAGTTGTAGATAAAACCGTAGTTCCGACGACGGAACGGAATTTGTTCGCCTCCAAAATAATAATGCTTCTATCAGCGCTCAAACCTTTCAAAAGGTCTTCCTTTCTCAAGGCATTTCTTTCACCAGTTAAAACGTTTGATTTGGGACTGTAGCGTTTCTTAGGATTCTGGAGCAGTCTTATTTGACTTTTACAGTGGCTGATGACACGTTGCAAATACTGATCTCAGTATGGCAATAATTTCTTCTGTAGAGCAGTAGTTTATTTTGGTATCAACCGACGGTTAGAGAGGTTAGTGACGACGCGAGTTGTGTCTGGCTTAGATAATAGTTGCTTGCTGGTATATCTTTTGAATTTCTTCTTCTGCCTCTCTATGTCTGATTGGACAGTGTGGGTCATTGAACTGTTTGTGATCCGATTAATTTGGTTGAAGTGAGATTTACTTAATATATGTTTGACTTTAAGTAAATTTCGGCGTTGTTGAAGGCAGGATCCTGACAAGTCTAATGTGTGTGTTTATGCAGAAACGATTGTTTCATTCTATCGTAGATGCGATGTGTGTAGGCGTAAAGAAACTATTTCTTTGACGTTGATACATCGGTTCATATCAGTTGGGTGCTGAAATTTTTCTTGCTTTATTGAGCTCTGACCGGCTTCACTTCATTAATTTGAGGAGTACACGAAATTGATATAGAATGCTTGATTTTGACAGCAGCCAGTAAGGCGTTGAAGAGAAGCTGAAAGGAAGCTGAGCTGTAACCATCGGAACAGGGTGCGTAAATGTGGGATATGCGATTTCTTAGAGTGGGAAAACAGCGAAATATATTTTATACGGGAAATGCAGAAGGGACGTTCTTGGGGAATTTTCATCGGCTAACCATTTTAGGTTTATACAATACTTTGGGTACCAATGGTCACAGTAGGAAATTTGAATTGGTCGAATGGAGTAAGTATAGCAGTTTTTGAGAATTTGTGCGAATGCCAGGTGCTATTGATATACATGCAAACTTGCCATAAAATTGGCACTTCGTTTCACCCATAAAAATTAAGCCCCTTTTTAATAGAGCAACTGCAGTTTCTTTAAAAGAATTCTTCGAGTGTGTAGAAGTAACTCCTTTCTGTTTTATGGTGATGTTACTTTTCCAACATGCAAAATGTTGACTTTCCCTCTACATTTAATATTGTTATATGTACTTGACGTCGATTAATGTATTACGTATTTTTTCCAGATTACAACGTACTTACCTAATCCACTATTGTATTAATTATGATATTCAATACATGTTTATCAATATATGCTTATCCTATAAAAAACTGTTGTTGCAAAAGAAGTGTTTTTTATATAAAAGTTACATAGGCATTTCGTTCAAACATTATAGTAAAAGAATAGTAGTAAAGTTCTAATTTATTTAGATAGGTTTAATTACACATTATTGTAACACTTAGTTTTATTTTGATAAGTACATAGGTATAAAACGAACTGGCACAGTTTAAATACTGTTATATTTGTCAATCAATATCTGTCAATCAATGACTTCCGAACTTGTCTTTCAAGAAAGATAATTCTTCACTTCTAACAAGTGGTTTATTCATAAACAATTTTAGATGATATCCTTGAATTATCAATATTTACTAGCTTTTTTAGTTTTGGCGGCAGATCATCGTAAATCGATTGAGGTACAGCATCTGAAACGAAACGCGTATGCGTTATAATGCAATATATGTGAGTATGAAGAGAAAATATAACCAAAGCTATACAGTGTAAAGTGTTAGTATTAAATAGCATTCTGAGAGTCAGACACCCTTAATGCCTTGGGGGTAGAGTAAAAATAATCGAGAATGACAGAAATAGTCCTTATTTTTCGGTTGGCTGAAATGAATGATAATATAGCGAGTACGAATGTGTTTGTGTGCGATCGGGCACACGTGTGTATGAACGGCTTATCGATTCGCCGACTACCCGCGGGCGTATTTCTTCATGTGCACCGTATTTGTAAATTTGTGTGTCGTACCTTCGTTCTGGGAAAGCACTTAAACAGTTCAAAGGAAAAATAAACTATACGGATGTTTCCAGAAGGTTCCAGAAAGTAAACAAAAGGGTATTTAAAGGAAGACACGATCACCGAGAGGAAAAAGTAATAAACTGACCGTTGCAGAAGTGAATCGAGAAATTAATTGACAGTGATAGCAGTAGTGCATTTAATAGTGTTTTTAAGTTCTTTAATAATTAGTGTAATTAAATAGTTTTTGTCGTTTTCAGTCTTAGAAGTTAATTTTGTTAAACCCACGAACATTACAATAATCACTTAAAACATTCAGTCTTTAACTAAGGATGACATTTTGGGTGTCGAAAGGCGTTTTAGTTTTCTATATTTTTGGAATTTTTGGGTTCTAAGTTTAGTTAGTTACGTTCCATAGTACTCAATTATATTTTGTGTAATGAATAATAAAATAAATTTTCGGGCGACGCTGGGCAACCTTCTGGTCAGAAAGAAAAAAAGTATTCTTCTTACCATTACAACGATACAGAAGATCAGACCAAATAATCATCTCTTGCGAAAAGCAGAATACTCCAAGTTTTCCACCTCTTAATGTTGTGTCATAAACATTTCCGGAGTCAGCAACTTTTCTGTCAACTTCAAATAGTTTGAAACGAATTAGTCCTATTTTAGGTCGGTGATGAAGTAACCAACGATATGGAGTCTTTTCTTTCCATCCTACATTTCGAGGATCTTTCCAAAGTAATTTTACTTGATTGGGAGTATTTCCTGTATGCCATAAGGAATTTCTGAGGATTTTTCCGGGACCGGTTTCCGAATTAACGACCTTCAGTTGAATTCCGGGATCGGCTACCGCATTGAATGGTGTATGCTGCCAGTATGGTTGAGAATGTTTCTTCCACATCACTACGTAGAATTTTTTGTTGCTTTGATAACTGGAACAATATTAATACAATTACTTAATATAATTTGTTGCAATCTACTAGCTATTAGGCACTTTCTTTTAGGCTGAGTATTAATTTCGGACAGAGTAAAAAAAGAAAAAGTGTTACAATAAACGTTATTTTATTAATAAAATAATATTAATTGTGATTGCTATGACTGCCATAATAATTAATAATAATTTACACATTAAGGAATTTTTATTAATGAAAAAGTTCTTTTTATGTTCACTGCGATTAAATAGATGCAAAAAATTATCCGAGTCTAAATATCCGGCATTTGACGTATTTCGTTTGCAGCGATCATCATACGGTCGTGCGTTCTGCATTGGCATTTGATACACTCGCTGTTTCATACAATCTCAAAGAAAATATTAAGTGGGTTAAGATCCGGATTATGCGTTGGTCAAGGTAGAGGACCCGTTTGTTTTAGCGAACAGAAAATTGTTATTTTGTAAACTGGTCGTATGTGCCGATATATTCTCTGTATTTCGTTTTGTTCTCACAAATGGTCATTAAAAAAGGGTTAGAACAAAGTAATCATTACCTGAAAACGAAACCTGCATAGTCATCGTCTATTTCCGTATCCACGTAGAAAGTACCTTCAAAGTCAACACCACCAAAACGATCTTCACCAACAGCAAGGCCAGGGTCGCTGTTCATAGTTTGCCAAATTTCTGCACCTTTCGCATAAATTACCCAGTTTGGATCTATTTGAGATTCACCCTCAGGATCTAGCGCGACTGTCATATATCTACTAAAGTCAGTGGTATGAATCAAAGAGTTATTAGGACAGTTATCTAGGTCGTTTGGAACAGTATCTAAATCGAAGTCGTCTTCACACACATCTCCTACATTGTTTCCTGAAATTAATGTTTATATTTAGAATGCATGTCGATGGAGTTAGAAATATCTTTAGTGACTATCTCAGATCGCTATAATCTAAAAAATTTCACTTGCAGATTAGTGTAATTTCGGGAAGCTTATAATACATAATAGAATAAATTAAATTCTTAAAACAAGTTCCCATAACGATAAACACAAAAACAAATGTAACCTACAGTCTTAATCCATGGAGGAGAATAATTATTCCTTTGTAATGCTTACTATGTGGTTTATCTTTGCTTTTTGGGGATAGTTCTAAATCATGTGCTTTGTAAGGGGAAAAATATTGCTCATTAACCAACTTTTACATTTAAATTATAATAAAGTAATAAATGTTTATAAACTATTAATTGTTTTCACTTTTTCACATACCGTTAAAATCTTTTTGATCAGGATTGTAGCCGTAGACGCAGTTATCTTTTTCATTGATAATTGAATAGCNGGAGTGTGGGTTAGGGTTCTTGTTGTTGTAGGGTTGTTGTTATCGATAGCTCTTTTAGTGAATTTGGATTGTAGGTTATGGATTCGTGTAGGGATTGAGGTAATTGGAATGTTGTTGTTAAGTGTGTCGGATGGAAAATGTAAGTCTAATCTCGCGACTTTGCGTAGAATACGTCGCTCGGTTGCGAGAATCCTGTGGGGCAAGTTTCGCGACGTTGTGGTAAGTGTAGCTGCTCTATAATCGATTACCGGTCGAACAAAGGTTTTGTAAGTATGAAGGAGTGTATCTGTTTTGCAAGTTTTAATACGCCCGTTTATTAACGAAATTAGGTTTGCGCGTTTCCGTACTTTGTCCAATGTGTGTTTAATGTCGGCATGCGGGTTCATTGTGTGTGTAAAGATGATCCCGAGATACTTTATTTCCTTTTGTAACGTGAGTTGAACATTTAATAGTTTGACATTAATATCGTCCGCGGTGAGAATGTGTCTGCGTTGTAAGTTGGGGTGTCTGAATAGTACCAGTTGTGTTTTATTAGGGTTGGGTTTTATGCGCCATTTACTTAGCCATAGTTCCAGTGTTTGAATTTGTCGGTTGATTTTGTTGTTGCATGCTTTCGAGCTGTTACCAGACGCCCAATAAGCAGTGTCATCTGCATATTGGGCGAGACTGATAGTGTTTTCTAGCGGTTGTGGAATGTCGTAGCAATAAATGTTGTAGAGAAGTGGTGCTAATACGGTGCCTTGAGGTACACCCGCGGATAGAGCAAA